CACTGCTTTGTTCAGTTCAGATCATGCACTGCTAACTTCAAGACCACTTTTAGAATGCACTTTTACTATGCAGTTGTTCCTTACATTGCATCAGAACTAAATAAATTAGCATAGAGAGAAGATTTTCTGTAGTGAAAGATGTTTTATAAGAAGTTACTAATCTTTGCTTGACAGTACTTCATTTTGCACTTCAGAAGGAAATCAGGATTCTTTCCTCAGAGAATTCTGGATAAAGTGCTTTTGCAAGTCTGACAACTTTATCAAACAATACATTCAAGAAGTCAAAGGATAGATGAAGAAAAGAAGTTAGCAGGTAGAGACATTTTAATAGCTAACACTGTGGAGAACCCTACCAACACATAACCCATGTTTGAAGATTACAGGCTACAGGATCAGTAGAACACGACATTTTTAGCAGCTTTGAAAATCTGTAGGCAATTTGGAATATATAGGCATTGCTCATTTGAAAAGATAGCTTGAAACTTTGAAAAGTATATTGCTCAATATGCAGCACTTCATCCTTATTATCTTCTTGTCGACTTCAGCTCTTTGCAGATGCTGCTGCACTACTGCCCATTGCCTTCAAAAATGTGTAACTTCCTTATCTCTGCTGGAACTAGAGTAGCAGCCAACGAGCATAGCTGTATTTCCTTCCTTTGGGTGTCCTCCTCTGAAATGCTCAACACTTGCTTTTTTCACCCTACTTTCGCATATTCCCATTCCTGGATAAAAATTCTGTATCGCAAATTAATTATTCCACTCAGCTCTTGAAAGAGTACATCTGCTTCAAAGCACCTCAATTTATGGGAGAGCTAAATCTTGTTGTAACCAGTGAAGTAAACCACTGGCCTGCATTTCAAGATAAATCTAAGAAACAACATGGGTATCTAATTCCTCAGCACACGTCAAAAGAAAGGCAAATGCAAAACTTTGAATTTGAATTACATAAGGCAAGCTATATAGCTGACTATTTGTGGAGGGGATGGGGTGGAGAAAGAAGCTGAGAAAACTCCCAAGAATAGAAACAGAGTAGGAAGTCACAAAGCAAGCTTGGATAAGATCTAATCCAATCCTATGAGGAAATTAAAAAGAGCTTCTAGGGTAAATGTGTTAATCAAGATCCCTAAAACTAACAAAAGAAATACACTCTAACTATCCAGTTTGTGATTTAAATAATTATGGCATCCATACTATCCATGAAAACCATAAAATAGAATCCAAAATTAATAAAACTTGTAAAAATATTATGGTTGTAAAGCATAAAGAATGTTGTAACGATCTTAAAAATGCCACAGTAAGCAAGACGATGAACCTGATAAGCAAAAAACCTAATGACAGTAAATTCTAAGGTATCAACAAAAATCTTAATATAGGAAAGAAATTTTTGTGGGAACAAACTGGAACAACCTCCAAGATGCAATTGGAAAGGGCACTAGACAAATCTCATCAATTCTCTCTTTCCCATGAAAGGTTGGACCAGATGATCTTCTAAGGTCCCTTCCAAGTTGGGCTGTTCCATGACTCTAAGAGGGACCTCCACAGCAGCTGAAGGACTACTGAGTCATTCTCTTGAATGTCTGCTGGGGCCTAAAAGATCCTAAGTGTTACCTTAGAAGGAAGCTTGGTCTCAGGTTTGCCCTACAGTTACACTTGATTAACAGTTTTCTTCCTATCATAGCTTTTTTTTCCAATGCTATTTTAAGGATTTAACATTCAACTTCTTTAGAACAAACCTATTTGCTTTTGCTGCTAAGGATCTGTAAGGGACACAGAGCAAACTGGGAGGTTTGCAAACAACAAGTCCCCAAAAATACGGACACAAACTGACTGGCAAATCCCAAGGCCCTAAGATCTGATACATGTTTGGGAATCTCAGGAATTGGGAGTATGCCTCCCATCAACCCACAGGACTGTGAGGATTTATACCAACAGGTATCAGGATGCAGGAAAACTCTTCCCATGGAAAGGAGCAGGCAGCAGGGATACAGCCTACCACACCTTTCTGGCCACTCCTCCTGTCCCACTGCCAGGAGCACCATCTGAGCAGGACTCAGAGCTTGACCAGAGTCCACCTTTGTCCTAGGAAACAAGAGTGTAGTACATCCTCCAGATTAAAGGAGTAAGCACCAAATACACTTCTTATCAGTTTGTCCTCTGAGCAGATGCAATAGATAAAATGTCAATTTATTTATTTTTTTCTGCATTGTTTATCTCAACCTTTGGGGCCAGAGCAGGAGGAGAAAGGAGGTGTGCTGTGCTAACCACTATGCTCCATCGCCTCCTCGCCAGTCTTCAGGATGGCTTTAGCATAGAAAGTGCACTTCTCTCAAGCCATTTTGACAGCCCTGCAGGGAGACCTTGCAGGAAGAAGTGCTGCGCTCTCCCTCCCAATGGTACTCAAGGGCCAGGGGTCTGGCCCTATGAAGTCAATACAGAAAGAACTGACAGAAGCAGTACAGCAAAATAGCAGGGTACATGATTGGTAGCTCTGTCATATCTGATGAGATCCAGTAGAACTCAATAGTTGTTGTTTGGGTTTTTGTTTTGTTTAATTAATTTGTTTTTCTCTCACTACATCAGTAAACCGCATGCTGCTCATCAGACAGATCTGCTAGCCCACACTGAGCTTCATGTAGTGGGACTAGGCATCTACTAAGACATGAGCTACCTAGGGAGCAACAGGATGTTTTGTTGTTCTGTGTGTGATTGTAGTGCAAATTAGCCTTCGATCAATGTGTAAAGAAACTGGCATGTGAAAAAAGGTGAATTTTATAGCATGAGAAGATGTGCTGTTTGGAAGTCAGCTGTACTCAATTTAAAATAGCAAGTAAAGATATATGACTTCAGATAAGATGCATATAAATTCCAAACTAACTTGTGTATCACTGCTATTTCCGAAGTCACTTCTCAGTCTTGACATCCTTAAGCCTCATCTCCTGAAATTGGCTCTGCATCTCCAGGATTACTTTTAGTTCTCCTTTAAAATCCCTCTGAAATTTTCATATTCTTCCTGAAAAGACACACAAGCACTCCAAAATACTGAGTCACAAGGCAAGAACACTACTTATTTCTGCATGATTATTCATTTCCTGTTAAGTCCTAAGGTCACAGTAAATCACCTGTGAGGATACTATCCAGAAGATTCCCATCAGTTTCTATGATGACTACGCAGTCCTCCTCTGAATCATTTACTTCATTATGCTAGTTTCAGCAAACTTCCAAGAAAAAAAACTGGTCTAAATATGGTGCATCCAATAGATAGATATATTAACTCATAAGAAAACTATTCACATTTATCTGATAAGATCTACCTTTTTGAACTATCCTTCTAATAAATATTAAATAAAGCAACATTCATGGCAAATCCGAAGGTGTGTTAAAAATTAACAGGAGCACTTCACAGACCTCCTCAGCTAATTACTCTTCAGACTCCTGGGTGGAAGTTAAAGTCCTGTTGCATGAAACAGAACATTGCACAATGCCTTTCCATGCTACAGACCATTACCTTTTATTATTGAGTCCAAAAAAGAAATGTGCGATATTCTAAACCCAAATATCCCTTAGATGCATCTTTTCTGTTCTACATTTCACCACTTTACATCTAGCAATGGCCTAATCAAACATGAGCTTTGGTCATCCTTTATTTTGTTTCTGACATAAATAAACTATTGTCCATTACCTTTATACTCCATAGCTTCAGAAATTTTAAATCTCTTCGACTTTCCTGAATCAGCCAGGTTGTCCAACCTATATATTCATTATTTTGACTTATTTTCATTTACATCCTTTGTTCATATATAGATTTTTGATGCTGTTGTGATATCCATGTATCCATTTGACTGTAACAACTTTTTGTCAAATATCACTTTCCTTCATTTCCATGCAACAGACCTGTTACTGCATCTAGAGTGATAGCCCTGAAAAATTCTACAAATATTAGCAATAATTTGCTCTACTGCACGTGACAGGATTTGTGTATAAACACTCACACAAGAAAGACAGAAGTGGATGAACTGCACAGCATAAAAGAAGCTGGCTACATTCACACCACTAACCATGACTGACTTTAGGTGTACCCTGACACCTGCGATTTTCCAGTCAATGATGAGCTTTTCCTTCTCTGTCATAACTGGGGTAAAGTGCACTGTGCTGGACACTGAAATGTTACAAAGAGTTATCAGTGGACTACGGGCAATCCTTGTGAGTCATCATCTCAAACGCCCCTGTGCACCTGCAATGTCACACCACTGGATGACACACTTCATGTTTCTCGGTCTCGTGGTAAAAATTTCCCAATCTATTTATTTTTCTGTTTCCCCCCACCAACCATATTCCATGTCCAATCTTCTACAGTACGAATCATTTCACACAGTCTGTTTCCTCAGTCACTGTCAGTCGCACCAGACTGAGCTTGCCACCACCTCCCCCAGCACCCTGTGGGATGCTGCGGACAAACCTGCGGCCCTCGCCCTCAGCACCCACACCCACTGACCCGCACTGAGCACCCTGCCAAGGCTCTGTCTGAAACCTGGACATTCTCCTCCTACCTGAAAGGAGGCTGTAACCAGGTGAAGGTCGGCCTCAGGAAATTAGCGACAGGACTAGAGGACTAGAGGACATAGCCTTAAACTGCACCACGAGAGGTTCAGACTGGATATTGGGAAGAATTTTTTTCATAGAAAAGGTGATTAGATATTGGAATGGGCTGCCCGGGGAGGTGGTGGAACCACCGTCCCTGGAAGTGTTTAAGGAAAGACTGGACGTGGCACTTCATGCCATGGTCTGTTGACATGGTGGTGTTGGGTCATAGATTGGACTCGATGGTCTCCGAGGTCTTTTACAACCTAACCGATCCTGTGATTTTCAGTTCTGCCTACCCCCACCTCTGGCTGCTCTCGAATCAAGGACGGCAATCCCCCCTTTCCGCGCCGACCACGCCCTTCCACTCCTGGATCCCCACCCGCCCCGCGCGCGCGCGCAGGCATCGCCTCCGCAGGGAGCGCGCGCGGGTCCCGCCCTTCCTGCCCGGGAGGAGGAGCCGGGAGGGGGCGGTGCAGCCGACGGGAAGATGGCGGACCTGGAGGAGCAGCTGTCCGACGAGGAGAAGGTAGGGATGTCTGGATGGGTGAGGGTGCTGTGCCGAGCCGCGCCGCCCTCCTGTCCCCCGTTCCTCCGAGCCGGCGGGCCCAGCTCGGCTCTCGGCCCGGGTTCCTGTTGTCGCCGTGGCCCCGGGCCGGGCCCGGCGGGCGGTGGGTCGGGGGAGGCCGGGGCAGGGCTGGGCTGGGCTGGCCTGGCCGCATCTCCCGCCGCGCCTTGTACGGTGCGGGCCCGCCGGGGGCGGCGCCGGGGGCGGCGGGCGCTGTGCCGGCCCGTGTGCGGGGAGCGGGCACGGCACGGAGAGGCAGGAGGGACGCGGAAGGGCTCTTCCCTCCCCTTCCCCCACCTCCACTTCCCGTTCCCGAAGCGCCGTGCCCGTGCCAGCCGGAGCACCGGGCCTGCATCCCCCTGCACCCTCGCAGGCTGCGGGAGGAGATGGGGAGCAGGTGTTTGCGGAGAGGAGCGGGGTGTGGGCGTGAGGAACGCTGTTTTACTTCCTGCTAGGAGGCATTAATTGGGGAAGCGTACGGTCAAGGAGCAGACGGCCTGTGTTAGCGAGATGTATGTATAATCTCTTTTTGTGGCAGCTGGAAATTTAGATTTAACGCAGATTTTTCTAGAAAAGTCTCACAAGGAGTAGGATGTCTTGTGAAACCTCAGTTATCACTCCTCCTTGTCATCCTCTGTTGGATCCATCTTCATGGCAGCTGCCTGTTTCCAAGCTAGGGTGTGGTGTTTTGTCTACATTGTGCTGGTGCACTGCTCATGCCTTTATGTAATGCATGATCTTGTTCACTTTCAACTTTAAAAATTTAGATTTTTCATGGCTGTGGAAACTGTGAGATGCCACAAATGTGAGAGGCATCAATAAATGATATTTCAAACTTGTTTGAAGTTAGAAGGATGTCTAAACTGTTTAAGTGGTTACAATAAGACAGATTTTCTGTTTGATCACTTTTCATGACAAGAGATGCACTGATGTGCCAAGGGATGTGTAGCACCAGGATCTCGTTGTCTGTTTCTCAAGAGGTTTTAAGACTGTGCCCTCCTCTATGTAATTCACATTGAAATGCCACCTCTGTGTTGGTACAAGCAGTAATCTTATCAAGAAGTATAGGTGGTAACACATGTTACTTTTAGCCCCTTATAGGAAATACAAGTAACACTGATCGAGTGCATTGTACCTCGAGGGTGTGCAGAAAATACTTAGACTACAAGTTATCTTGTCATCACTGAATGGTTGGAAGGGACCTTGGAGGTAATTTTGTAGGGTCATCTATAGGATGCCCAGGACTACATGCAGATGGCTTTTGGAAATCTCTAAGGACGCAGACTCCACAACCTCCTTGGACAACCTGTGGCAGCGCTTGGTCGCCCTTGCAGTAAGAAAGTGTTTCGTGTGTTTGATTTTGTGCCCATTGCTTGTTGTCCTGTCAAATAAGAAAAGGCACAATGACAGTTTTATCTTGTCTCTGAAGCACAGTCTGTGCTTTTGTGACTGATGGAGTTTTCTGAACTTTCTTCCATCTTCTAATTTCAGGGTTTTTTTCTCTGCAAATGGGCGCAGACCTTCTAGAGACTCTTCCTGTCTTGATATAAGTAAATAGAATGAGCACTCATCCATTGCAAATTTAAATTGGTTACTTATCTGCTTCAGTCCTGTATATAATTGATTGGCCTATATGAGTGGAATTTTCCGAGTCCGAGAGTGTATTTTATTGGCTAAGAAAGCAAAGATGGGTAACCTGCAAACTAATGGAAAAACAGGCAAATATCTGTGTAGATTTTGTTATGCCTTAAGATTTTTTTTTCTGATGCATTAAGTTGTTGTATCATTGTAAAATAAAAATGTTATTTGAAACATTCAGTTTACTGAGCTAAAAAAAAATCAGCTGGATAGCATTTGACAAGCACACCCTTCTCACTCATCCAGCTGGGACTATAAATAAATGTAGGAGTAGATGCAAACAGGCAAACACTGATTTTTCATGGCAAATAAATCACGTTGCTCATTTATATACTTTTCTTCCCTGATACAGAACTGATAGTGTTGAAGGGTGATGCAGATGATGGTGGTGATGTAGTTTTGTAGCTAATTTCAGTAGAAACATAACTAGAGCCTTGGTCAAAACTTCTGAAATTCAAGAAGGGAAGAAGGTGAACCAAATAACAGAAGTTAAAGTTTTTTTGTATCAGATTCCTAATAATTATGTATGAGCACAAGTAAGTAGGAGATCGAGTGATATAGCCCCTTGATATGACTAGTTCTGGAAGGTCTTGGATCCATATCTTACTTCATGTGTAGTCAAAAGCCTTAAGTGTTGCAAAGACAGTAAGCAGTTCATATACCTTATTCTTGCTAGATTTAAGGTCACTGTGTTTAGCTGTAGCATAATTCAAATTTAAAACTGGCAGTGTTTAGCATAATTGAGAATACAGAAGGGGCATAATTGAAATAATGGCAAAACAAAGAGTTACAGTTCAGGTAAAGAAGCTGTAAAACCAAGGAAGAAGAGCCAGTTGCCAGAAGGAGTATGATTTCAATATTCAGGATTGCATAATTGGTTTTGAACTTGTTCCTTAGATTCACATTTTAGTGTGAGATTTTTGAAGCCTTGCTTTTCTTTCAATAATGATAGTAAGTCTGAGGATAAATTTGAATAAGCATTTAAAAAAAAATCTGAGAACTGTTTGAAGTAAATAAGTTGTGTAAGATTTGTGTAGATCCAAAGATCTGAAGTTGGACTATTGCCAGTGAGAGTTACTGCCTTTAGCATCCAGGACCAGCAATTTTTCAGTGCTAAAGACAGTTTTTGTGAGCCACAGTGTTTTGTAGTTGCTTTATTCAGGTAGGTCACTGAAATTTCAGAAGCTTTTGGTTATGTGGAAAACATAAATTTATGTTTGCTTCTGTTTATAAATAAAAATTAGGTGTGAAAGTTGTAAATCTTGAAGCTCTGAACTCTCAAGCAATGGAAAATGATCACTTCTGTGCCCTACCTATGGATAATGCATCCTCACTTAAAAAGTTTTGAATGCAAAACCTCTTTATGTATCCAGGATATTTGAAGTCGTTTTATTTAAGTCTAGTAACCATTTTTTCCAGTTCAGTTTTATTCCAGTTTCTGCAGAAATTGTTTCCTTACCCGTGGCTGTGTCAAACAAATAAATATATATAAAAATGTTTTTAATGAGCATATTAGTGTGAATATAAAAGGTACAATTTATCTACATGAATATAGGCAATGACTGATGGAAGGTACTGATTTTACTGTAAACGTTGCATTTGCTAATGTAAATATTCATTAACAAACAACAGCACAAATGAAAAACAATACTAAAACTGTTTAAAACATAAAGCTTGTGTTCTGCAGTTCATTTTTGGTGACTTGAAGGGACACGTTTACTGTAGGTTTGGTTGCAGAGAAGTTAAATAGCTGTGTATGTCTCAAGATAAAGGCTGAGAAAATGAGGATACCTTCAGGGAGGAAAGGGGAGAATCCTCTTAGGAAAGGATAACACATGAATTTTTTAATGCAAAATTAGCCCTTCATTCCTGAACATAATAAATATGGGAATTGTCAAACAGTATTAAAAAAAAAAGGAACCACACCTCTTTCAGTAAGCTTATATCTCAGTAGTTTCACTTGCTCAGAAAAGTGGGGTTTAACAGTGGGTCAGCTTGCTGTGATTAGAAAAAAACCTTCTCTTATGATGAGGAAGTAGTCCTATTTTTTAAAATGAGCCTTCATTGCTTCCTGGTACTCCTGGTACATTGGGTAATTTTGTAACTTCTTAGATTTATAGGTTGTGACACCTCATTTAAGTTATAAAGGTTGAGGTCTTACACCACCTAAACTCTGCAGTGTAGTTTTGTCAGATAAAGGAAAAGTCAGTGCTTTAGAATGAAAAGGCTGTGCCAATAAAATGCATTCTCTCTCGTGGAACTTTGTCTTTAAAATGTAATACACTGACAGCATATTGCACTTGGACATACAAACCCACCACTGTGGGAGGCTCAGGTGTTTCCTTAATACAAATACAAACCTTCCTCCTGTAACTGTTTTGGAAACATTAGCAGAATTTTTGACTGAAAAAATGTTACTTTTCTAAAACCTTTACATGTGTTAAAGCAGTTCCTGTGCTCTAAATCGTTAATTTTGAAAGGATTTAGAATTCTGACTTTTAGAATTGTGCTGAATGAGACTTGGAGACTGTAAATGAGTCGGGGCCAGATTTGCATAACCTTTTCTGGGTATAATTGCAAAGTAGTCTATAAGGTTAACTTAAGGTAAAGTCTTGCAAGTATCCTAACGTTCTTTCTTTGTAGTTCATCAGTGTACACTTTGTGCAAAAGTGCAGCTTTACTAACGTGTCTCACAGAAGGACCTTATGAGCATCCTGGTTCTTATTTGTATTTAAATGCTAAATGGAACTGGAAATGCTGTAGCAGGATCTGATGAAAGTTTGAAAAACCTTTAATACTTAAATGGGTAGTAACTCAGTTACTTTTTAAGCATATCTGGTGTTTAATTTACTACACTATCAAAGCTATGAAAGTTAATATTTTTTCCTCAAGGAAAATGTAGCTGTGTGTAATGGTGTGGAAGGAATTGTTTTTACAAAGATGAGGTTAAACTCCATGGTTACACTTTGATAACATTTTGAGGAAATTCTTTAATAAGAATGAGAAAGTTGGGAGTGCTTCTCAGACTGACATGTAGTTCTGAATACAGCAGTCCTTCCAAGATTAAGATTTTCACATACATCTCAGAATGTCCATAAAAATGTGTATGAAAATAGTGTGTTGTCTTAAGAATTATTTTTTTTTTAAAATGCACCAATATTGTTGAGATTGAAGGACAGGACAGAGATCTGAATCACTTTGTTGGGGAAGTATTAAACACTATCTGAAGAAATTATCATGTCCTGTATGTGTAACTGCAAAGAATAACTTTGTTTATTTCTACAGTCATGCAGGCTGGAAGAAACTTCTGGACATAAGTCAAA